CATAGTATTGGAAATACTATTGAGAATGGGTATTTAAGGCTTGGATTTCACACTTCCTTGTTGAGTGAAAGAGAACAAGGGGCACTCTCGCGCATCGCCGCCGCCGTCCCATCCCGTCGTGGTCGTGGTCGTGGTCGTACGTGTCTTTGACACGTCTGCGCCGATACTATCTTTTTAGAGAAAATTCTTAAGAAACAAATGCATTGCGATTTTGGAGTATCGCATTGCGAATCTTAAATCGCGTTGCGAATTTGGAACCTGGGCAAAAAAAATTATTTAGTTGTTAAAAAGATTTAAAAATATAAAATTAAAAATATTTATGTTATTTGTTTTATTAGTGTTATTATTGTGTCGTAATTATCTATTAATTTAAATTAATTAATAATTCAGTATTACATGCAACACATACAATAATTAAATATTCTAATTTCATTCTGTTTTGCATGAAATTGTTATTTCACTCCTTGCGTGTGAAATATGAATTTTTAAATATTTATTAATTTAAAAATACTTTGAAGTGGATACCATAATAATATACTCTACTAGATCTTGTTGTATCTCATTTTCTACTATGGATGGCACTAAGGAGCAGGCAAGGGCTTGCTCTCCTCCACCCAATATGGTAAATTTTGTATCAAGAATGTGCAAATATGTCGGCGAAGATACAATTAAAACAAGGTTAGAGATAGTTAAACATGAATATTCTTCTTTTTAATTTTTGTTTTAATACATGTCTTCATAGATTGTAGTTGTTAGTTTGTACATAAATTCCTTTATTTGTTGAGAAAATCGCCTCAGTGACCAAAAATGCCTTATAATATACGATTTTAACCAACTTTTTTTGGATTTGCCAAAATGACCAACAAAATCACAATGCGATCTCTAATTCGCAACGCGATTTTTAGTATCGCAAATTCGCGTTGCATTTCGCGTTGCGATAGTCTACAGTGTCGTTGTGATTTTCCATTTCGCGTTGCGATAGTTGAAAATCGCGTTGCGATAGTGTAAAGTGTCATTGCGATTTTCCATCTCGTATTGCGATAGTGTATAGTGTCGTTGCGATTTTCCATTTCGCGTTGCGATAGTCTACAGTGTCGTTGCGATTTTCCAAATTCGTTGCGATAGTCTATAGTAAATTAAAAAAAAGATTGTTTCTTAAGAATTTTCTCTAAAAATATAGTATCCGCGCGGACGTGTCGAAGACACGTATTACCACGACCACGACCACGACCATGAGACGAGACGGCGGCTGCGGCGGCGCGCGAGAGTCCCCCTGTTCTCTTTCACTCAACAAGGAAATGGGAAATCCAAGCCTTAAATACACTTCCCAATAGTGTTTCCAATACTATGTGGGATTGAGCATTACTCAACACTTCAAAGAAAATATAGTAATTTTTGTAGCATGTTTCCCACTTAATCCACATATCTAAAACATTTTATCATTTTATCAAGAGAATTAAAAGAGTTGTAGATATCTACATTTCAATTCAAACTTATACATATAGTTTTAATATGATAAAATGTTTTAATATTTTAGATATGGATTAAGTAAGTGTTGAGTAATGTTCAATCCCAATAGTATTGGAAACACTATATGGAAGTGTATTTAAGGCTTGGATTTCCCATTTCCTTGTTGAGTGAAAGAGAACAAGGGGGACTCTCGTGTATTTAAGGCTTGGATTTCCGCAAGGGGGACGCGCCGCCGCCGTCTCGGGTCGGGTCTGGTCGGGTCGTGGTCGTGGTCGTGGTCGTGGTAATACGTGTCTTCGACACGTCCGCGCGGATACTATCTTTTTAGAGAAAATTATCGCAACGACACTGTAGACTATCGCATTGCGAATTAGAGATCGCATTGCGATTTTGTTGGTCATTTTGGCAAATCCAAAAAAAATTGGTTAAAATCGTATTATAAGGTATTTTTGGTCACTGAGGCGATTTTCTCTTATTTGTTTAGTTGTTATGTAGATTTAAAAATGTAAAATTAGTATCGTTCATACACAAATAAGGTGTTTGAGTGTAGTTTATATCCTTTTTAGCTTAGATGAAAAAACGTTGAAAAATGACGGTGGATAGAGTTTGATGGTGTTCGAGTACAATTCATCTCTTTTAATTTAAACATAAAATTATTAAAAATAACAATAATTAGAGTTAGTTTTTTTAAACGAGATGTAATTTGATGAGTCAACCCATATTCCTTAGAGAAGGATAGAAAGGAAATATCCTTTTTAACGTGGATAGACCTTTCCCTTTTATTCTCTATGTGATCATTATTCCTTATACTATGTGATTATTAAAGAATATATATCCAAGATGGCGGCGGACAGTTGTAGGTCATCATTCGATCTTACATTTTAGATTGATCTACTGTTTTGATATTTCTTTTCTTTTCGGGTGACACAGTAATATCATCTTATTAATGATTACTTGTCGATATTATAAGGTATCATAAGTCTTCCCTTGTTTGTTTAGGATTTAAATGATTCTTTCAGATGTTATGTTCGAAAAATATCGAGACGACATAGCAAGTATCTATGTTATTTAATTTAATTAATGTTATTTTATGTCTTAATCAATTAATATCTTATTTAGTTTAAACTAGTTGATAATATAATATCACATGTAGTACCTGCAATATATATACATTTTCATTTTCATTATCTTTTAACCAATCAAAATTGATATTTAAATCAATTCGATTTGTTTAAGATTTATGATTTATTTTATGATTAAGCATAGTTTATTATAATTTCATTTATTCTGTATTAATTTTAAAAATATTGTTTTTAAAAAAATATAATTCAAGTTAAAAATATTCAAAATTTGATTTTATAAATCAATTAGATAATTTGATGCTTGAATGGCGTAAATAATTATAAGATGATACTTTTAGATAAATTTATATCATATAATTAGATATATTTTTTATATGTTATGTTGTAGTTTAATTTAATTAGATTATAAAATAAAAAAATCATTTTAATTTACAATGATAAGTATCTTGGTTCGTTTATAAATGAAAATTACAATGAAAAAATCACAATTCAAATAAATTAAAATAGCTAATGATAAATTTTTATCAAAAAAATTGCTAATGATAAATAAAATCAATAAACAAAGCTTAACATATGTAAGAAACAAAGAATATAATAATATGTTTGATAAAAAAAACATACGATAACATGATACTAAAATAACATTTATCTTAAAAATAAAATGAAAATGAATTTGGTCAAATTTATTACTATTTTTCATTTCCATTTTTGCAGTAATTATAACATTTTTTTTCAATATGTTTCCTTTCTAGTTCCTTTTTCGCAATGGCGCGGCTGCCCTCTCCTCGATCCCTCGATTTCGTTTCTCATTTTGCCCTAAAATCGCAACTTGTCTTTCCCTACATAAAGCTTCTCTTGTTGCAACAGTCTTCGCTCAGCCCCACTCCCTTTCACTCTCTCTTTTTGGTTTTACTGTATAATCAAAATTATGCTCTTCCCCACAACCCCATTGGTGACTCATTTTCAACTCAAAGCTTCCTCCTTCATCCTGAATTGACGTTTCTTTCATTTTTTTTCCCTGGGGTTTCGTTGCACCTCACCTTTTTGGGGGGTTTTCTTTAAAAAAAATGACAGAAAATCTCGACTGTTCGGCCTCAAATCTCCTCTGTACAGAGAACACAAGCTGTTGCTTTGATGGTGTCTTGATTTCAGTGCCGTGGATGAGTTTGGGGTATCCCCTGCCTTTGAAAAGCAAACCTTTAATCAAAATGATCCTTTTCTTGTAACCAACAGATCAACTTCTTTGGTGGGTTGTCCTGGTTTTGAATTACAAAGTGATGATGTAATTAAGGAAATTTTTGAAAAAGAGATGATGCATTTGCCTGGATATGATTATCTCAAGAGACTGAGAACTGGGGATTTGGACTTGAGTGCCAGGAAACAGGCCATTGAGTGGATTTGTAAGGTCTGTTTGTTTTTGCCTCTTTGCTTGTTTAATCCATTTAACCAGCTTTTGTAACCAGTTTTATGTGTTATGTGCTGTGAATGATGGTTTTAATCCTTCATTTTTCATCAACAGGCTTCTGCTTATTTCAGCTTTGGACATTTGAGTATTTGCCTATCAATTAACTACTTGGATAGGTTCCTATCAATGTATAGCTTGCCTGTAAGTGTTCTCGAATTAGCCTCAAATTTCGATTCTTCAAGTTCTTAAATCCTAATGTAATCACTGATTAAAATTGCACAGAGAGATAAGACATGGGCAATCCAACTTTTGGCTGTTGCATGTTTATATATTGCAGCTAAAATGGAGGAGACCATGGTGCCTTCATCTGTAAATTTGCAGGTGAATGATTCAATGTTTTTGCAATGCAGTTTAATCACTTGGTCTTTTCCCCGGTTCGAGATTCGTGATTGTTTTTGTTTGCAGGTAGGGGAACCAAAGTTTGTGTTTGAAGCTAAAACAATCCAAAGAATGGAGCTTTTGGTTTTAAGCACATTGAAGTGGAGAATGCTAGTTTTAACACCTTGTTCCTTCATTGATTACTTCTTGAGCAAGCTTTGTAACGATCAATATCCGTCATCGACTTTGATCTCTAGATCGTTACAACTAATATTGAACACGATCAGAGGTTTAATTCTCACTATATCTACTTTGTTTACGTTTTTCATCGAGAAATGGTGGATCTAATGAATGAATGCAGGTATTGACTTGTTGGAGTTCAGACCGTCTGAAATTGCTGCAGCGGTGGCCGTTTCCATTTCAAGAGAAACGCAAGGGTTCACCATAGATAAAGCTATTTCATCATTCATTTTTTTTTCAAAAGGTAAAAAATAAGATAACAAAACTCGAGAGATGACAAATTCGGTTGACGTTCGACAATTTCTTTTGCAGGAAAGAGTATTGAAGTGTGTTCAAGTGATGAAGGATTCGACATTCATCGACTGCACCACAACTCCTTCACCTTCGTCTGTACCCCAAAGCCCCATTGGGGTATTGGATGGCTCAACATGTTTGAGCTATAAAAGTGATGAAGCAAAACATGGTTTATTTCCAAATAGTTGTAATCCGAGACCAGACATTAAAAGGAGGAAACTTGACAACAAATCACCTCAACTGGATGTCATGTTCCATGAGGCCTGAAATCATTTGGTTTTGTTGCTTGAAACAGAGTGAAAATAGGAATATACATAGGAATAAAATTTCAAGGTGAATATATACATATATATATATATTCACATACAGTTTAAGAACCCACAACTATATATATATAAATAGATGGATCACAAGAAGAAGTGGAGGGTGCCTTGGTTTTAGAAAGAAATACTACAGGTTACTTATTATTATTGTTTTTATTTGTTGTAGATTTTAGTTATATACATGAGAAAAAATCAAGCTAGAAGTTATAATCGAAACCGTGTAATATTCTTTCAGGCAGCAATTGGAGTGCAATTATGGCATTTTAGTAATAAATTGAACAACGTTGTTTATTTGATGGTGGGTGCTTGGTTTAAGGTTTTTTGTTAATTAATTATTTATCTTAAATCATTTATATATTTATATTTATATTTATATAAGGATAAATGTTATCATTAATCATCAATTTATTGTTTCTTTACTATTTTAGTTAACAAACTGATTATCTTGTGTAACAAAAACATTATTAATGTTATTTTTTTCGTATTTTGATCTTTGATCGATAAATTTTAGTGAAGATGATGATATTATGTTGATATGATACTTTTTACTTTTTATTTAAATTTTTATGTTATTTTCTTTTATAAATAATAATTTGTGTAGAAAATGATGAGAAAAAAAGTATCATATCATTGTCGTGATTAAAATGTATACAGATAATGATTGAAATAAAAAATTACAGTAAAAATATTTTTATAAAAGAATAATATGATGATCAAAATAAAATAAGAAATACGCAATGCATTGGTGACTAATGCTTGAGTTTATCATTTATATAATCATATTATTGAAGAAGGTGCTTTATGGGTGGGGTCCAGAGAGAGTGAGGTGGACAACAAAAAGAGTTTCGGTTTTAGAGTAAGTCTGGTCAACGTCTGAGATTTGGTTCAGTTTCAAGTCAGTTTGTGTCTGAATTCTGAAAGAAAGAAGAAGAAAAAAAGCACAGAGCATGAGAATCCACGTTGCAGAAAACAAAGAAACTACAAAACTGCAAACTCACAGTCTCTGGGCACTTAGCTGTCAATGTTTTACTTTTTAGGTAATATATAAGTTTGATCATTTTTGTTTTGATTTTATTCACTATTGATCATTTTAAATAAAAAACATTATATTTCGATCATTTATATTATCAGTTTATTATAATTTAATCATTGGATCGTTAATCTTTGTTACTCAAGGCCACGAAATTCTGAAGTGATGCTTTTTAGATGGCCTAGTTGTCATTATAACGTTATAATAAATTATAACAAACTAATATTGTAATAATTGAATTGTAACATTTTAATTTTGTAATTAAAAAAAAATTAATCAAACTTTATCATTTAAGATTTCCTTGAATAGGTTTATAGCGAAAGCACATTTAGTGTGCATGTAGGGACAAAGTTAGAATTACATATTGAGAGCAGCAAATTATTGAAGTTAAAAATAATAAGTATTTATTAGGTAATTAATCTAAAAATTGAAAAGAGAAAAAATTTAATTTTATTTAAACTTAAAGTAAAAGGACCTAAAATATTATTACAGTAAAAGTTTTGGGAGGGGAGAAAAAACCTCTCTCACTATCCACGTACCTTCATCTATAGTACCATAAAATTCAAGAGTTTGTGTATGATAAGATTTGAGTTTGTGTATGATACGATTTGAATTTATTATGTTAATATGTTAAAATATAAATACATCTTAATATTTATTGAAAAGAAAAAACAAATCTTCATAGTTATTATGTTTAATTGTCAATTAAATCTTAATTGGATCACTATCATTATCAAGTTACTAATGCAACACATAAAAGGATAATGATTTCAAACGAATTGTATTTTGGTCACCTATTTTTTGGTCACCTGTATATTCTCACATTTATATTTTGGTCATCTATTTTTTTAAGCCATACCTATTATACGTTTCATTTCAATTTTTGTCAATTGTTGTTAGTTTGATTGTTGACTTAACGTAAATAGTAATGTGACATGGTATAATAGCAGTTTCAGTCCACAATACATCGTTTTGCTATTTTCGTTACACAACTAAGGAATGAGACACAAAAAAAATCAAATTTGAAAGTGTGATGGTAAAATCAACAATATTTAAAGTTGGATGATCAAAACGGAAATACGGTAAAATTTGTGTGACCAAATATTGAATTTACCTACGAAAATAGTAATAATATGTTGCTACTCGCTAATAAATTTGTTCAATGACCCAGCCGGAATTACTAAATAAATTTGTCATTAAATTATCACTTCCAAATGCTATAAATGTGCATAAGTTAAATGTATCAGGTCATTTTAGCATAAGATACAATATTTAATTAGCAACATAATGCATGAGATTGCACGGATTACAGCAACTGGCATTTCAAACACATCGAGTTTAAAACATAACAGATTCATTATATTCTGCCCTTCTTAACATTAATCAGATATCCATTAACGTTACCTAACTTTTGATTTCCAACACTGAATAGCTTTCGGTGTAGCATGTCGGACGATAACGAGTTGCAAGACCAAATGAATGTTACGCTGGTAGAAACGGTATCACGAAGATTGCGAGCTATGGAGTTGCAAAGCTTCCTTTAGGAATGTAACAGCTCCGTCATAGTTTAAGAAGCCCATGAACCAAAATTCATGACCATCAACAGAGACAACTTGAATGTACTTTTCAGCAGAATTGAGTCGGCTCGTTGAAGGATTAACTGATTTAAGTTTATGTAATGGCATAACTACCTGTTTTAACCAGTAAAAAGAATGTCCAGAATCATAAAGCAGAATTCTATGTTACTCAAACTTGAGTGAGACGTATTTCATTCATTTAGAGGATTCATGTTCAAACATGAGCATCAGATACGAAAGAGGATGTAAAGTGTAAGGATGTAAAGTGTAATGCAAGCATACCTTATAGTAGCTCCATTCAGTTTGGGTAGCATTTTTATAGGAAAGAGGAGTGTCACTGCAATATGCAAGTTTTGCTGTAGATACATATAAAACTCCCATGACAGGGCCAGCTGTTGTGGATAAATAACATGCAAATGAGTTTCCAAGTTGCTCTTCCGGAACCATCGCAAAAGTTTGTCTGAATATCTTCTCGTAGCCGCCTTCAGCTAAAACCTTTGTTCCTTGAGCAATTCTTCCCATGGCTGCCTCACCCAAACTCGGGCTTGTTTTTACTGATTTCATGAACATGAACAGTAAATTAAAATAAATAAATAAATTATGATGTTAAAATTAAAAACTAATATTAATGTTCTTTTAAAATGAAATTTGTTTTTAATAGTTTCTATATCAAATTTATAAATTATTTTTAAGAAAAATTTTGGAGTGTCCTATTATCAACATAACTCCGCTCATGAATTGGAGTATGAATATGTTGTAATTGAAAATAAGTAAATTCAAGTATTGAATTTGATAAAAACACATATAACATTAAAAAATTAAATTCAAATATCAAATAATATATTAAATCTGTAAGTTTTTATTATTTATCGAAAACAAGTATTGTATTTATCATAATTATGACATGGAAAATCTTAATGTTAGCATATAAAATATATATAAGAAATAAAAATCAATAAACAAGAGAAAACATACAGTGCTGCCACGTGTTCCCTGCCAGATCCTCGGCTTTTCTCGCGGCTTCTTCGGCTGTTCTCCCCCATCTCACCAATACCTCTTTCACTGTGTCCATTTTCTCTGTTTCCAATTTCAAAATTAATTAAAGATTTGAAAGAAAGAAAAAAGAAGATAGTGAATTCGGAATAAATGTCTAATTGCTTGCCTTTGAAGGAAGTAAAAAAAGATTCGGGAGCAGGATCGTGAGCAATGTAAGGATTGGGTCCGTTAGGAGCGGACCTGGCGACGCCGTGATCCGAAGCAGGCGATTCACTAACCAACTCGGGACTCAATTGAACCGATTTCCTGGATCCGGATGACGTTTGATTCGGTGATTGCATTTCCTCGCTTTGAATCTGGCTCTCCCTCGGATTCTGAGTCTGTTTCCCTTCTTTTACTTCCGGCTCTGTTGTTGACACCATAACAAAGCCTTCAGTGTCCATCGCGGGATCCGACTCTTTCTGGTTGGATTCTTCGGCCGGAGGTTTCTTTGAGTTGGATTTTGGCTCGGCTACCGTCTTTAATTGCTCCATTCTGCCAGAACGTTCAGCAAAAAAATGGCTGCGCGCGAGGTTTTTCTCTGGAAGTTTAGCGGCTGGAGGTTGGAATTTTATCTTATTGACCGCCTTGTGTTTATTCTTTCGATTTGTTTGAATTTAATTGAATCGTATTTGATTATTATTTTATCTAACAAAAGAAAAGAATAACTTAAGCTGAACAGAACCGGAAAAGGAAGGGATAACTTGAGCTCCTGCTGGATATCTCCACTCGTACATCAACTTCAATTCTTACGGCAGAAATAAATAAAGGAATAATATTATATGAGATATCTGTATTTTGATTAAAATATTTAATATAATATTTAAATTATTATTCTATATGATCAATAATTAATTAATTTAGTAAGTTAAAACACTAAATCTCTTAAATAAGATTAAAATTTTAAATTCTGATGTTTGTAAATGAAGTAAACTTAGTGAGGAGAATTGTCTTCGCCTTTATAGTATTCGATTTTGATTAATCGATCAATATATTAAATATTGATGGTTATATAAAAAAATTATATGTAGAATTTTATTGATTAATTTGATGTTTCTTAATAATATTAACTTAATCGTTACATGTTTTAATCCAATACTATAAATGATCGGTGAAATGATAATTCTGATGATCCATGTTTCATATTAAATATATAGATAAAATGTAATTATCACATTAAACATCTCGAATATATATATATATATATATATATATATTAAATTTGATAAAATATTATATGTGAGGTTATAATTTTTTTCAAAATCTCAAAAGTGGATCGATACAAATGGGAACTTTCCGACTTCATAACAGCATGTCTAGGCTTTTGTTGAGAATGGGGTTGGTGTCTTTCACCCGCACAGTGCACCTTTGGCTGACACGTCATTTGGGAATTAGGATGCTTCTTTGTTATTGGTTAATTTATGCACGATTTTAAAAGCAATCATAACACAAAATTTATTTAAAATAAATAAATTTAAAATTTTTCATTCATCTAAACATTTTATTAGTTAATAATGTATCAAACAATAATCGTTAAGTAAAAAATTAATCTCAAAGCTTAGAAACAAAACCTTATTGAAGAGAACTTAACTGAGTCAGCAAGCTTCAGAACTCGCTCCCCATACCGAGATGATTCGCTAACCTTGTTCTTAATGCTCCCCGTACTCAACAAGCTTCCTCCTCCTCCGTACACTTTATCGTTCCCAATTTGATCCTTAATTTCACTGATCGAATGCCAAACAGTCTCAAACAACACATTCTTCATCTGCGAAAGTGCCGACAATCTCTCTTTACAATCTTCCAATCTCTTCAAACCAAGCACCAACTCAACCGAGTCAGAAAAGCTCAAACAACTCAGTCTCTCTTTAAACTCTCCGACTCGGATTGAAACCTCGTTGATCGATGACAAATAATCCTCACCCACCAATCCCGCAACCTCTTCCACCAATAAGTTACCGTCGGCATGAGAAGAATCGGGCATTTTCGAAAACTGTTCAGTCAAATTCACCAGATAGTTTATCTCATTAAGCAGTTGGCTATTTATAAGCGATGACACTTTCTCTTCTTGCTCTTCATCTTTATCTGCACTGCTTGAATTTGAACTTATAAAGAACCCCAGAATCCTTGACGTTTGTAACAGATTTTCAAGGTATAAAGCATACCTGCAAATTGTTTTCATTGTATATTTGCTCTAAATTTGATATTGAAACCAAATATTTTCTGGGGAAAAAATCTAATGAACGAAAACATACCACCGAACCCAAGAGGAAAGTTCCCAGGTTAACGACGTTGTGTTATCTCTGAAATCGGAAAGTTTAAGGTAGTTTCGGCCGCCATTGGAAGGGTAAACAGAGAGCTGATCTTGAAGAATGAAGCTGCCACGTTTAACGATGTGATGAGCGGTGATGAGGCACTTGAGGGCAACGGAGGCGTCACGGGTAGTCTGGAGACGGTCCATGAGGGCCTCGACGACGGTGGAAACGATGGCGCGTGAGGTATGACCGGAGGCAAGTAAAGCGTCCAAGTGCCTTGGGTCGGGTAGAGTGAAAGGATCGTGGGTTGTGGCTCGTAGTAAGGCTAAGTGGAGGGATAGGGTTTTGGGATCGGAAAACAAAGCTGCTTTGCTTTGAGAAGCTTTGTCTTTGATGATTCCGATGATGTCCCAGAGAATTGGTATCCGCCCCATTGAAGAAAATAAAGTGATCATTTATTTTATTGGGCAAAAATCCTCAGATAATGCATTGAAAAAAAAAACATTTCTTCAGATATCAAACTTATGACGACTTGGTTTCTCTTTTGTCTTTTATAAAGTAGAATATTCAATTATAGTTAAACTTTTTTAAAAATTATTAAAATATCATAAAATTTATTATAAAATCGTCATCTTGATGTTATAAAGTAGTCATTAATTTATTAAATTATTATAAAATAATTCTTAAATTTATCAAATTATCCTAACATCTTAATGATGAATATCTCATTGTTCATCCTCTTTGTTATGATAATTGGCATCCAATTGTTTCATAGAGACAAATAGATTGCTTCTATAACAAAGCTCTTATATGTACAATGGTTCGGTTGAATTGAAGAGTTTGAAGTCTGTTGATTTTTCATCTTTTATTTTTTTTATTTTGTTTCCTTTTCTTCTTCTTTCTTATTTTCTTTTTATTTATTTTATGGCGAGGTACTTTAAAAGTATGTAACATCTTCAAATTTTAAAATTAAAATTTTCTTTGAGAAATGTGTTAGATTCTATTAAGTTCATTAGAGCAATTGATAATTCAATTTGGGATTAAACTTGAAATCTATAGGTGAAATTAAAAGCTTAAGAATCAAATTGTAAAAGAAGAAAAAGTGAGAGATTTGCATGTCAATTATTCCAAAAACCTATATTAATGGATTTTGATGGACATTTATATGTTATTATAGAATTATTGATATGTTTTATATAAAATTTGTTATTATGTGTAATATTGATAAACACCCAGTTAGGCTACATTTTGAGCCAAAACGAATTGAATAGGGAAAAGAAAGATATTTTCCTCATCTTCTCTAAATCCTCCTTAACCTCCATTACTGAATGTTTAAAGAACTTCTGGGAGAAAGTCTGATATGGAATCCTTAAACCCTAAAACTAAGGTTTGTGATACCTTAAATTTAACAACCATTTAGAGCCATCCATCTTAGATTTCAAAGTTTGATATGGAATCCTTAAACCCTAAAACTTATACTTTAAGGAACAAGATAAAATGGAAATTTTTGAGATCAGGAAGAAACTAAGATAATCTAATAATTTATCAATCTCAGAAATATAGTAAATTTGAATTATTTGAATGTGGTCAAAATTATATGTGTGTGTTTATGTGCTTTATAATTTCAGTTTGTATAGGAAAATTATATAAAATGCCTAATTTGTGATTCTAACTCTAAAACGAGTATTTTGGTAGTATATTATATAAAAATGTATGTACTTATGTATTTTGATAATAACTTCTAATGCTATGATATATATTTGAACATGCTAGTATATGTATGTGTTATATGTATTGATTCTCGACTAGATCGTGTTAAGGATGTAACACATGTGCCATGATATGATTAGATTTATTAAATTATATTAAAATTATGATCAAATTGGTTGAATATGTAAGTAATGAAGACCAACTCTGTAAAATTATACCAACTTTGTTAATTGTCAAATGAGGTCCTCTATCAACTGTTGACTGTAGGAGAATTAATTCGTATCATTTAAATTGTTAAATTATCTAATTGATATGTGATGACACGTGTCACTATATGATTAGAGGATTAAATTTATTAAATTAAATTTAAATTAGGATCAAATGTATAAATAATTAGGAATAAATGTATAATTATATCAATTTTGTTATCTATCACATCAGTTACTCTTTCAAATATTAATTAGAGATGATTTGATCGAGTGATGTGATTGATAAAATTTAAAAATCTATTGTCAAATTAGAATAACCCATAGTTAAATAAAATGGTGAAGGTTTGTAATTTACCCATATATTTTTAAGTTTAAATGGTGTTCAGAAATTGGTGGGCCCACTGCACGTGAGAGTGAGAAAGCTTGCGTCGCTGTCTAAATTTTGAACAGATTTCATCAGACATCACGATCTTTTAAAAGATCAAACGGCTATGACCACCACATTGATCTACAAAGATCACACTAACGTGTAACTCACAGATATGTTTTGCATACGACTTTCTACGCTGAAAGTTCTAGGAAGCATAGTGTGTATATATTATACACACACATACACAGAGCAATCAAAGAGATTGAACAGTTTGAGAGTGTTTTTCTTCTAATTCTGGGATGGGCTTCTCTGAAAGATGCAAGAATCACCCAAATCACAATGAAAAGCAAGGGGTTTGCGCTTCATGTCTGAGAGAGAGATTATCTCTTCTTTGTTCTGCTTCATACACAGAAGTTAATTCCATACTTTTCGCTTCATCCTCTCCGTCGCCCTATTTTTCTCCCGCCGACGACTCTTCGCTTCCATCTTCGACCTCCGCCTCCCCCGCCTTCTCTCAACATCGTAAGCGGAACGGTTTCGGCGGGACGGGAATAAAGGGGCTGTTTTCATCGTCGTCGTTGTCGACGACGTCGTCTTCGTCGATCATGGTAAAGCTTGGTAGTATTAAGGGTTTGAAGAAGAGTAGATCGATTGCGTTAGTAACAAGGAACGTGGAGGAAGAAGAGGCTAAGAAGGGAAAGAATAAGAAAAAAGGGTTTTGGTCTAAGCTGCTGAGTTTCAAAGGGAAGAAGAATGTTCTCACGCATTCAACCAGTATGAGATTCATGATTGGTAGAGTTAATCAGATTTTCTAGGGTTTCATTTTCAATGATAATTTGTGCTTTATTTATTTATTTATTTATTTATTTTTACTCTTCTTCTTCCTTACGTAATTATGTATGGGAATTAAAGTTTTTACTATCAGCTCCAATCCTTATTTATATATGTAACATAAATCGTAATTGTTTCTAATTCCACCTTGTCTAATATCATTTCTCAAAAATAATTACAAGAAATGAATTTAAGCCTCATATTTTCTCATATAATATCGTTGGAAAAAAGGAATTAAAAAATTAACAATATTTTTTAAATAAAAAAAAAAGTCATTCAAGGTTTCTAGTGTAATAAGTAATTGCATGTTGAATTAGGTTTAGGTCATTCACTCTATTTCCTAAGCTTATGTCATGCTAGTGTTCATGCATATCAAGAATGTTGACTTCTGATCATAAATATCACTGTCCGAATAGAATTATACTGCTTTAAGTTTAAAGAGCCGTGATTTGTTCGACTACATTAGATCGTTTTTGTTCTAAACTTGGTTCCAAAATTCCCATTGTTTTCAGCCCCATTGCTTTTCATTCCTAAACCGTGCGGATTGCTACCTTTTCCTCCACTATTAATATTAAATACGACATTAGCATAATATGAGAAAATATAAAATTTATATAAATATAAAATACCGTAAATATAATTATGATACGATGAATAAAATACATTGATTATTACCAACAATCAGTTGATCTAGTGGGATGAGAGATTAGATTCCTTAAGTAAGATCATGAGTTTAAATTCTAATGTTTGCGAATAGAGCAAACTGGATTAAGAGGGTCGTTCTTGTCTCTGCAGTACCCGATCTAGATTAATCGATTAATGAATCGAAAATGGATGATTACATAAAAATAAATAAAAACACACTGATTATTAAGTCGTATGGTTTTTTTATTAAATATTATAAAAGTAATATCAATAAAATTAAATATTTTTAATTTGAAAGTAGAAGATTGTGTGAGATTTCAAAGTGTAGGGGACCGCAAGAATCAGATTGATGTAAATAAAATTGATGGAAGTTATATAAATACGATCCCATAGAACCCGTGATCCCTCGTTTCCTTCTCATCATTCTCATATTGTATCCTCTGTCATTATGGTCCGATATAAATAGTGATTATAATGTGACATACATTTTGTCTGTGGAGTGGACATCCGTTGGGTTATTGTTGGAATTATTTTTTTTTTGCTTCTTTTGGTTTGAGTTTGTTAGAATTTATTATCTAAAATTTAATTTATATGAATTAAATTATTGAGTAACTTTAATGGCAAAAGAAAATGTTATTATTTATTAAAAACTCAAGTTTATATAATTATATGTGTAAAGTGTGTTGGCTAATGTCATTTGTTTTATTTTAAGATTTATGACGTATAATTCAGTGTCTACATATTAGAGTGTAGGATTTAGGCTCTTTAGATTATAGAATATTAAAATAGGTAGAGTTGTATAAATTAAATTTTACACAACATGATTATTTGATACGGACAGTATAAAGTTTGAAGTTCTTGTCTATTTTACTGTCATGTTTTATTCAAGGTTTAGAATTTTCGACTCACACTGAAAGCCGAGGAAAACAACAAGAAAGCCATGGATGATTTAGCTTCGGCATTGCAGGAAGTGATAATCGAATCGAACCAAACCAAACCAAGGATAAGCTGTCGTTAACAGAGGAAGAGCTGAAGAAGACGAAAACGGAAGTCGAGGAATTGAAGATGATGCTGAAGAAAGTCAAGGATCAATGCCTGGACGAACGAAGAGAGGCCGATCGACAAAAGAACATTGCCGCGAGATTAAGGTTAGAAGCTAAAGAATCTATCATTGCATGGAGTGAACAACAGAAAGGGTTCGTTGAATGCATTAAAAAGGCTGAATTAGAAAATAATGCTGCACGAGAAGAGTGCAAAACATTTAAGGAATCACTTAAAGAAGCTGAGGAAGCGAACAATAAATCCAAGGAAGAGATTCAGAAAATAAGGGACATAATGAGACAGGCCTTAAATGAAGCAAATGTAGCCAAAGCAGCAGCAAGCGCTGCTAAGGAAGAAATTTCCCAACTCAAAGACGCCCTTGCTCAAAAGGAAGAAGCTTTGAAATTGCTTAATCAAGAAAACGAAAGGCCTGCGAGAAGCAAAGCTTGCGCTCGAACGAAATCACCAGCAAGAAGGACCGCGTTGATGACGATGAAGCAGTACTCCGAAATGGAGGATTCCGAGCAAGGTAAGGAACATACTGATCATGATAAAGAAAGCAAACAACCTACATTAAGACCATCACCGCTACCAGTGCTGAGGAGGACCGCATTGTTAACGATGAGGCAGCACTCGGAATTCGAGAATTCCGAGAACGGTATGGAACATAATGATCATGATCACGAAGGCGAACATCCCACACTACCAAAAAGACCACCATCACCTTTACCGGTTGCGAGGAGGGCTGCGTTGTTAACTATGAGGCAGTACCCTGAAATGGAGAATTCTGAACAGGGTAAGGAACATAATGATTATGATAAAGAAGCCGAACATCCCACACTAGGACCAAAAAGACCGCCATCACCAATACCGACGATGAGAAAGGCTATGTTGATGACGATAAAGCATTACAAGGAACATAATGATCATTATAAAGAAAGCGAACAATCTGCAATAAGGCCATCAAGATCACCATTAGTGTTACCAGCAATAACGACGAAGGTGAGAATGAGCGCATCGATGACAAATTTGAAGTTGTGCTCTGAAATGGAGGATTCTCAGCAAGGTAAGAAGCAAAAACCAATGAATTCAACACATCATGACAAGGAACATAATGATCATGATAAAGAAAGCGAACAATCTGCACCAAGGCCATCAAGATCAACACCAGTATTACCAGCAACAATGACGAAGTTGTGCTCGGAAATGGAGGATAACGAGCATGGTAAGAAACAAAAACCAATGGATTCAACGACGCATCATGACAAGGAACGTAAAAATATGATAAAGAAAGCAAATAATATGCACCCGGACCATCAAGATCACCATCACCGTTGCCAGCAACAATGACAACAATGAAATGTTCAGAAATGGAGGATTCTGATCAAGGTGAGAAAAAGGAACCTACGGATTCAAAACATGATTACAAGGAACATAAAGATCATGATAAAGAAAGCGAACAGCCCGCACCCAGACCATCAGGATCACCATCATCGTTACCAGCAACAATGACAACAATGGAATGTTCAGAAATGGAGGATTCCGATAAAAGTAAGATAAAGGAACCAATGGATTCAACACATCATGAAAAGGAGCATAAAGATGATGATAAAGAAAGTGAACAACCCGCACCAGGATCACCATCACCGTTACCAGCAACAACGACGATAAAGGAGTGCTTGGAAATGGAGGACCATGAACAAGGTAAGAAACAGGAACCAACGGATTCAACACAATATTACAAGGAACATAAAGACCATGATAAAGAAAGTGAACAACCCGCACCAGGATCACCATCACCGTTACCAGCAACAACGACGATAAAGGAGTGCTTGGAAATGGAGGACCATGAACAAGGTAAGAAACAGGAACCAACGGATTCAACACAATATTACAAGGAACATAAAGACCATGATAAAGAAAGTGAACAACCCGCGCCAGGATCACCATCACTGATACAGGAAACAACGACAATAAAGGAGTACTGCTCGGCAACGGAGGACCATGAGCATGGTAAGAAACAAGAATCAACGGATTCAGCACATGATAAAGAAAGTGAACAAGCGGCGCCAGGATCACCATCCCCGTTACCAGCAACAACGACGATAAAGGAGTGCTTGGAAACGAAGGAAAATGAGCAAGGTAAGAAACAGGAACCAATGGATTCAACACAACATAACAATGAACATAAAAATCATGATAAAGAAAGTGAGCAACCCACGCCAAGATCATCAAAACCGCTATCAGTATCACCATTACCCTCAACGAGGAGGGTGCGGAGGGCGATATCGATGACGATGCATGAGTTCTTGAAAATGGAGGATGATGAAACAGATAAGTTACAAAAACCAACGAGTCCAACACTTCATGATAAAGAACACCATTGCCAATGAAGACTACGAAGAGGTCGATGTCGATGACGATGAAAGAGTTCTTGGCAATGGAGGATGATGGGATAAATAAGATGCAAAATCCTGACTCAAGTTCAGATAAGCCATTAATGGACTCAAGTTCAACACAACTTTCCAAAGAACAAAAAGAAAATGATAAAGAATTTCAATTTGCTAAGAGAGCAAATCCTGTTCCTTTTATACCCACCAACTCTTGTTTGATTATAAAATTCCCACTTAAACACAAGTACCAAGAAGAAGTGCCACCCAAAGAATCCGATGATGATTCGGACTATGAAGACTTCGACCCGCTTAAGGGCTCCATCTTCGACATAGCTGAAACCCCAAAAACTGAAGCAGGGTCGACAATTCAATCGAAAAGGGCTGATGATGAATCAACGAACGTTGAGGAGCTTACTCACCCTCACCCTGATTCAACTCATGTAGATGAGGAAGGTGATAAAACCAGAACAAGGAGATTGATTTCAAAACTTGGTGGTCTTATAGGAGTGAGAAATCTTTACAGGAGAGAACAACCTCCTGTAGAATGATTTACTGAAAACGCTAACAAAATCTTCTGTATCTATTTTTATTTATTTATAAAATGATTACTTATACTTTTTTTCTTAATTATTTAGATAAGATCTGTTTAAGAAAATAATATATTTGTGTGATGTTTACATAATCCAATTATTTATGACGAACTCGACCATTTTTTAATATTGTCTAAATCATATACATGTGTTGTTATTTTCTTGTATAACCCAATAATATATGCTTCATTTGAGTAATGTATAGCCCATGAGGAATATAAAATTATTTAAATTTGAACACATTTTTCGATTCATCGCATAAAATTGTAATAAATTCAAAGACTAATTCAATGATAATTGACGGTTGATAGATACATTTGTTTTTGTATGCATACAAGCTTCTATCCTTGCTAACTTTATAAGTGGAAATTCCAAGATGAAAATTTGACAAAATTTGACTTAATTCTTGAGAATTCACATACATCCTATAAATTCAATTTCTTAAATTTAGAATCTCTAATCATTGTATGTCTAACTTCATATATTTTTACTGTTACGATAATTATATTAATTAAATTAATAATCATCACCCGCAAAACAAAAGTGTATAATTACTGAAGTCTATTTTCTCAATCAATTTGATGATGATAACGCAGAGAGGAAAAAAAGGGTAAATTACAACATTACTTACTGAATTTTACTTTCTTTCTTATTTTACTCACCGTACTTTCAATTTTTCAATTTACTCAATAAATTTTATACATTAAATTTTTTTATCACTCATAGATGACATGGATTATTTTATTATTTTTTATGACATGTCATATTTTTATTAATAATTTAATATTATTTAAGACTATAATAAACAAATAAATATTAAAATTTACATTCTAAAACCCTAAAATTAATATTCTCACCCTCACATTTAACACCATTGGGGTTAGAGCCGTCGATGGCTACATTCGTAGTGGCTGCCACGGTGGTCTCTGGTGGCCGTTGAGCTCCAAAAAATTCAGTCTAAACCTTTTTGACCTCTTGAGCATGAAACCACCCTTAGTTTCGTCAAAAAATGTTCTAATGTTAACGAATCAATACCGACATCATTAGGTTTTTCACTCTCCAATCTCCATCGACCGCCATTGGATGGAGCTCAAATGAAGATATTTTGGTCCATTCGTCACAATACCACTCCTCACCGTTCGGATCTATCGTACCACCAGTGCAAGAGCCGCCCATTTTGAAAATCCGAAGGTAAAGTTATATTTTTTTTCCATTTTTTATTTCTTTGCTAAATGGTTAATTCCTTGCTTTTGTTTTGTAATTTTTGGTGTTGAATCGTTTATTCAATTCAGATACTTTCTTCTTCCCCTTTGTTGTAGCTATCATTTGTTGTGCTTAGGGTCTGAATGTGATTTTAAGGGATGCTATGGTTGTGTTGATTGGTTTGGTTGAGAGTTGTAAAGGATGAATAAGAGAGTGAGGGGCAGAGGTGAGCTTGACCGTTCATCGGTGGTAGGGTGGGTGGGATTGTAATTTGGGGTTTAGGGTTTGGGATATAATTTAGGAATTTAGGTATACTTTAAGAGTATATTTTATAAATTTATTTTTATTTTAATCATATTTGATATTAAAATATTAATAAAATATGACATGTCATTTTAAAAAAATAATAAAATAATCCACATCATCGAAGAGTGATTAAAAAAATTCAATGTATAAAGTTCAGTGAGTAAATTGAAAAAATTGAAAGTATAATGAGTAAAATAGGAGAGAGAGTAAAGTTTGATGAGTAATAGCGTAATTTACTCGGAAAAAGGCAGGCACGACGTCGTTGTCAAGTCTGCAACTTGTTCGGTATCTGCTCCAAATTCCAACCAGTAATTATAACCCACGTTTAGTTTGTATAACATCTTTTGTCCCTCTGCCGTTGACAGTTGACACCATCTTTTCAGTCTCCATTTCGATAAAAATGACCTCTTGCCTTTACCAACTATGCGGCAATGCCACAAAATCAAATATGGAGAGGAAAAAAAGTGTTTTTGAAAATCGGATCGGATCAATCGGTTTAATGAAAAATTGTTGTCTGATCCGGTTTATTCTACACCGGTTAAACCGTTACTAGTGAATTAGAACGAATCGTTGAACCGGATGTGAACCGTTCGGACCGGATCGGGCCGTGAACCAGTTAAAAACTGGTTCTTTTTTTTCTAAAAAAAAATTAAATCAAACGACGCCGTTTATTAAATGAGCCGAGTCGAACTCAAAAACTTTAAAAGTAAACTCAACTCGACTCAAAAACTCACGAGCTAAAAATTATTAAGTTCAACTCGAACTTGAAATATAATATTGAAACTTGAACTCAACTAAAAAAAAATTAGAATCTCAATTAAAGCCTGAAATTCGAGTTCGATTGAAGCGAAAGAATAATTCACTCACTCACCAAAAGGCTCAATGATTTTGAATGACAAGTTACATCTATTATTTATAGAAGTTAGTTGAGATGTTCTTCTATGTTTCTTAGCCATGTGGGATTGTTTTGTTTTCATATTTTTACTCTTTAGACTTTTGTGATGTTCTTCTATGTTTCTTAGCCACGTGAGATTTTTTTTTAAAAAAATTAACAAACGACATCGTTTGTTATGATTTTTTTAACCCCAAATTTATTTTTTGATTATAGTTATATAATTATATTTATTATTTAATATGTTTTACCTTAAATATTATATTGTAGTTGATTTGAATTATTTTGTTTCACTTGATTTTATGGTTTTTAACTTATATATGTTATATTTTACTTTGAATATGACTTGTGATATAAAAAACTATTTTTTATTAAATATTTTTTTATATTTTTATTTAATTTTTAAAATAATTAATTAATTATGACGTCGTCTGATTCTTCTGACCGATCTGATCGATTTAACCGGTTAAATCAGTGAACTGATAGAACGGTTGGTTCGCTGACCGGTCCGGTTGTGAAAACCATTGAAAAAAGAAAAAGAAATGGAAAATCCTTGAGATTGTCCGATTCTAAACGCCCGCACATAAATTTTTTGGGATCGACATTCCTCAACCTCTAAAACCAGATACTATAGCATAAACGGAATCCCAAACATATGTTATATATATAGATTTTTGTTCTCTTTCTGGGAGTTGGCTTGGGAAAATGGATCGTTACGAGGTACTGAAAGATATCGGTTCAGGGAACTTTGGTGTTGCAAAGCTGGTTAGGGATAAATGGAGTGGCGAGCTTTATGCTGTCAAGTGTATTGGAAGAGGACCCGAGGTACTACTAGGCGTTTTTGTTCTTCATCTTCTATCTGTTTGCTTTTATCATTCACAGACTAATCTGGGTTTTTCTTTTGGATTGATTTTTTGGGGGTTTGCTTGGTAATGCAGATTGATGAACATGTTCAAAGGGAGATTATGAACCATAGGTCTTTGAAGCATCCAAATATAATTAGATTCAAAGAGGTAAATGTTTATATTTTTAGAGTTCTTCAAGTACAGAAAGAATGATTTTCCAGAGAAACCCAGAGTTTCATTGAACTTAACAGGCTTTAAAATGGTTCATCTTTTGTTCTGTTTTGGTCAGTTTCATGCTTATTTTTGCCTTGCAGGTGCTGTTAACACCCACTCATCTTGCTATAGTCATGGAGTATGCTGCTGGTGGAGAACTTTTCCAAAGGATTTGCAATGCTGGTAGACTTAGTGAGGATGAGGTGCGTATATATATATATATATTGAATTTCATTGATCATTTCATTTTCATTTAAGAACTGCGATTACTTTACTGCTTCAGGCAAGGTTTTTCTTTCAACAACTGATATCAGGAGTGAGTAATTGCCATGCAATGGTATATATACTAATGTATCCCTCTACTTCTGAAAATAGTTTTCCATTTCTGCCTAAAATCTTAAGCAAAATCGAGATTTATTTGCCCTGTTCATGCTGCAAATTTGTCAAAGAGATCTTAAGCTGGAGAACACACCGTTAGATGGCACCTCCGCACCAAGGCTCAAAATATGCGACTTTGGCTACTCCAAGGTCAGCATCGATCTGTTTTACTTGCGACTGGGACTCGTAAGTACGTCAGATATGAATATATGTTCTTTAAGAATCATATACATATGCCTGTAAAGGTGTTCGACACACGAAGAACCCGAGCAAACATAGCTATAAAGCCAAATTATTAACTTTTTATTTCATGTTTCAGTCAAGTGTGTTTCATTCCCAACCCAAATCAATAGTAGGAACCCCAGCCTACATTGCACCAGAGGTCTTATCTAGGAAAGAATATGATAGGAAGGTAAATTCTTGTTCTTATTAAGTTTTCACATTCGACTGGATTGTTCTGTTCTCGAGTTGAGTCGGGTCGGACTACGAAACATGGAAAGAAAGCCTAGAAACCTGTTGGAAAACTTTAGATTGCAGATGTTTGGTCTTGTGGGGTTACTTTGTATGTCATGT